ACTTGGTCGGGAATACAAACGGAGTGTATCGTCTATTTGACAAAGACTCACTCATTTCTCAGTGTAGAGTCAACCAGCACCCTCACCCCTCCCAGACCCACCACCACCACCTCTCAACCAACCCACCATCACCCCTCCACCACCCCTCCACCACACCNCATCTAGATGTGTATAAGAGACAGCGTCACTACCGTCCCCTGCGTCACTGCCGTCCCCTGCGTCACAGCCGTCCCCTGCGTCACTGCCGTCCCCTGCGTCACTGCCGTCCCCTGCGTCACTGCCGTCCCCTGCGTCACTGCCGTCCCCTGCGTCACTGCCGTTCCCTGCGTCACCGTTTAAATTAAATTATTTTTTTATTACGCTATTCTTCACTTAGAATGCGCGCGTCATTCCTAAAATTACACATTAAAATTCATGAAAAAGAAGGATAATTAAACTGATCTCAATGAACCAAACATCAAATAGAAAAATTTTGGTAGATGTGTGAAGAGGAGTTGTATATTGTAATTACTTACAACTGATATAGGAGGCTCATCGTTACCGCCGAAATTCAGCTGGCCGCTCATAATTCGAGGCAATTTAGCTTGAACTTTCCTGGTTCTCCCTGCCATCTATATTACTTGTAGTACATGTACACATGGCAGTGCTTGTAGTACATGTACACATGGCAGTGCTTGTAGCACATGTACACATGGCAGCTGCTTGTAGCACATGTGCACATGGCAGTGCTTGTAGCACATGTACACATGGCAGTGCTTGTAGCACATGTGCACATGGCAGTGCTTGTAGCACATGTACACATGGCAGTGCTTGTAGCACATGTACACATGGCAATACTCGCGTACTTCACATGCATATGGGTTAAATCAAAGCCTGTCACTCCGCATTTGCTGGTAACAGAAAGGCAGAAATCTCTTAATGTTTTAGCTTGAATTCTTCGAATTGCGTTTTTTTCGTGCAGAATTCTAGACTGTGTAATGAAGTGGAGTCTGAGATACCCTGTCGATGGTGGCGTCATGGTAGCCTGGTACGAGGAATGCGTCCTGGTCTCTCCGCTGGATCATTAAAGCGATGGGCAAATAATAGCAGGAGACTAGAGAGCGCATGACGATATACTAATATTTAGAGTCATTCTATTGCTGCCAAGGTTTGCTGCCAACCTGATATGCGAAAGCCATCGTAAATTTAAAGCCTTATCAAAGGTACTCATGTCATCAGTGGTGCGTGACGACGCGCGACCCTAAACGCAATCTCGGCCGCGCGGTCGCCGGCGCACCCGCGGCCGACCGTCGGCCGAGCCTGACGCCCAGGCGCGTAACTGAGAAGACACGGAGAGGAACCGAGGCAGCAGCTCCTGCGAACGAACCAAGCGTTTAGTTCTAAGTTGTTCCTCAAGTGCAATTGTCGCGTTGCAACTTGCGATGAAATATTATCGAGACCTGCTACTCTCCACCGTTGCAAATTCTCGACCGAACTTTCTTTTAAGGACGCGATACGCATATATGGATGCTGCGACATTTCTTGCCGTACGCCAAATCGCTATTTTTTTGTCTCTGCGGAAAATTATCGCCGTTTTATCGCCGGCCGATACCCGGCCATCGATGTGCTGTCGGACATTTTGAAGAGGTTACATGCCTGGGTTTTATTTGAATGGCTCACTGGAGGCAAATGGAGTCCTCGTCGAACGCCCGATAGTGGCCATTAGTGCGGAACACAACCCGCCTGATAGCTGGACTTCAGTAGCTCAGTAATGCTTCTTATCTGCATACCCAGCCCTTATCAATCACTGCAAGATAACGAATACTCGCCTTATTTGACCTCTTTACTGACAGATTAATTTGCAAACTTTTCTCGACACCAATTGCTCATTAATTCATCCATAAAGGGAAATCATTTAATTTTTATACTAAAATTTCGAATCTTGACTTGCTTGGACTGGTATGTGTCACGTTATTTATTCTAGTCACAAATTTGTTAATAAGCTTTCACAATCTTACAATTCTAGATAAATAATTTGTTAAAAAGAACGGCGTTAAAACTGATGAACTTTAATTCCATATTGAATTCGATCTGAGAGGAATTTACCGCATGCCGATGGCCATTTTGAAATTAAATTTGATTGTTTATTTAAAAGAAAAAATATCCAGGTATTTAATTTTGTGCAACTTTTCCTTCTTTTTCCAGTTGTGTTAAGGTTTTAAGTTTCATCACATCATTGCCACACCCAATATTATTTCCAATAAATAAATATTCAACGCAAAATTTGCTATAAAATTTATATTTTCGTTGGAATTTCCGCGTTTGTGAATGAGAAGCAAAAACGAACGTTGCGGCACTCGAGATATTCAGCATTTCATGAGTGCGATGAATGGCGATCTCTAGAAATTCCTCATTCCTGCACACTATATTCATTCATTCACATTACTTACGAGGTGAAGTAACAAGTTCATCCTCCAGGTGGTCCACTTATCCACCCAGTTAGGTTGGTGGATGACATTTTGATTTTTGAACTTTTAAACTTAGAAAAATAATGAACATATTGTCAAAATAATAACACAATTTCTGCAAATCACATTGCTACGAACTTTCGTTGGATCAAACTGGGTCAGGATGACCCATTCTAGTCCATGAAGTGCATCGCTATTTAGACAAAACCCAACTTATTTATCTGATTATCCAATATAACTGTCAGCCTCAACTCCACATTATTGGCAAGATTATTGACGGCCATGCATGGCCACCTCTGTGCCACCTCTAATACGACTGAATTATTTCGAATAAGCGACGATAAAAAAAATTCTTTATAAAAAATTCAAAAATTATCATGAAATTTGGCTTATATTTGACACGTTACTCCCCTGACAACGTCTCATGAATAGCGTGGCCATTTAATTCATTTTACAGCTCCCCTATTCAGTATCATTCATCAAACGCACGCTTTCTTAATGCTATTCGACTTATTTTTGATGAATATTCCAGATTAAATATTCCGGGATTTTGGTATTATTATTCCGGGATATTAGGATGAATATTCCGGGATCTAAGGATGAATATTCCGGGATCTTAGGATTAATATTCCGGGATCTCAGGATAAATATTCCGGGATCTCAGGATGAATATTCCGGGATCTCAGGATGAATATTCCGAGATCTTAGGCTGAATATTCCGGGATCTAAGGATTAACATTCCGGGATCTCAGGATGAATATTCCGGGATCTCAGGATGAATATTCCGGGATCTCAGGATGAATATTCCGGGATCTCATGATAAGTATTCCGGGATCTTGGAATGAAAATTCCGGAATTTTAGGAAAAATCTTCCGGGTTAGGTATTCAGGGATTTTAAGGTAATGATTGGATGATAGGAGACCTGGTGTCTGGTCAAGCTTATTCTGTGTTACGAAACATACTGTATACACGCTGAGTCTGCTACCAGCGAGAATATAGACAGATATATGCAGATATATATGTATATATAATATAGAAAATCCTAGCCGAGTATGTTACTCAGCGAGTTTTTGAAGTATCTATGAAAGTAAATTTCGGGATCTAGACATACGACGCGCCAAAGTACAGAGCGTGTAAAGTGAGGGAGTATAGAAGAAAAGTATATCTTAGGTGCTATTGTTAATAGCATCTTGAAATAATGCCGTAGTAAGTAAATTAGTTAGTCATCAATGACGGAGTAAAGGAAATGTGTTTTGATATAACGATTTAGTTATATCCTACAAAGAGTAGTATATAATAGATGGATTCATTATAATATAATGGGATTAATAAGGATATACTAGAAGGATTAGTTATAATATAATGGGATCAGTAAGGATATATTGGATGGATAAGTTATAGTATAATGGGATCAGTTAGGATTTAATAGATGGAATAGAGTATCTATGAAAGTAAATTTCGGGATCTAGACATACGACGCATCAAAGTACAGAGCGTGTGAATTAAAGGAGTATAGAAGAAAGTTACATCTTAGGTATTATTGTTAATAGAACCTTTAAATAACGTCGTAGTAATTAGTAAATTAGTTAGTCATCAATGATAGAGTAGAGGAAATGTATTTTGAAGTAACGATTTAGTTATATCCTGTACAATGAGTAGGATATATTAGATGGATTAGTTATAATATAATGGAATCAGTAAGGATATAATAGATGGATTAGTTATAATATAATGGAATCAGTAAGGATATAATAGATGGATTAGTTATAATATAATGGAATCAGTAAGGATATAATAGATGGACTAGTTATAATATAATGAGATCAGTAAGGATATAATAGATGGATTAGTTATGATATAATGGGATCATTAAGGATATGATGGATGGATTAGTTATGATATAATGGGATCATTAAGGATATAATGGATGGATTAGTTATGATATAATGGAATCAGTAAGGATATAATGGATGGATTACTTATATTATAATGGGATCAGTTAGGATTTAATAGATGGAATAGCTATAAATTTCTTGAAATCAGTGAGTATGAAAAAGATTAGTTTGGATACAATCGTATTTCTGCGACATATTTAAACGAATTCAGATTGCATATTATATTTCCCAAATAATTACTATTTTTCGAACTCAATGAACATTTTATTAATGAAAATATACTAAAACGATACAAGAAGAGCAGACGTTCAAAAGAACTTTGCACGACGCATAACTGTTCAGTACAGAACTGTTCAGTGCAGAACTGTTCAGTGCAGAACTGTTCAGTGCAGAACTGTTCAGTGCAGAACTGTTTTTACCCATTTTCATTTCTAATAGGTGATATTTCATGCCCTCTATTCTATAGCCCTATTTATGCCCACCATTCCTCAGACCCTTTTCATACCCCCCATTCCTCAGTACCATTTCATGCTCTCCATCTCCCAGCCCCATTTTGCTCCCCCTATTCTCCAGCCCAATTACTCAGCCTCATTTTATTTCCCCTTTTCCCCGGCCCCATTACACGCCCCCCATTAACACCCTCTTCCCCCATTTGCAGGCGCCACGTCCCCGATGTCGGCCCGCAACTTCCCCGCGTCTTTCTGGAACAGCAACTACACCCGCGCGGGGGCGGGCCTGGGCCATCTGGGGGTCCATGGCCACCCAGACCTCTACGACCCTTACCATCCCGGCCTCCACTCCCTGCAGAACTCTGGCCACCACGACCCATGGACCACCTACTCCTTGTCCTCCCAGGTACCGTGATGTTCATAGGTCCTGCCACCCCGACCCATGGACCACCTACTCCTTGTCCTCCCAGGTACCGTGATGTTCATAGGTCCTGCCACCACGACCCATGGACCACCTACTCCTTGTCCTCCCAGGTACCGTGATGTTCATAGGTCCTACCACCCCGACCCATGGACCACCTAAACAAAATCAACTTGAATTTGTTAAAACAAGAGCTGTTTTAATGACATTGCTATACTCTAACGTTTTTCTAATTTTGTAAGATTTTATTGAAGATGTAATAGCTTTCACCGGAAAATTTCGTGAACGGGAACGAAATTATGTGCATCCTATCAACCTATCATAAACTAAATCATTTTTGCAATTAAATAATAAAAGCATCTGAAGAATCTAGATTTCTAACGAGAAATCATATAATAAGGAATGTAAATCACGGAAAGTTCCAATGAACCTTCTATAGATTTCCGAACACTGGATTTAGCTGCTGTCCATAAATTTTTGGCTTCAAATGACAGTTTTGTATTCATTTATTTGTTACAACGAGATGAGGTCGCACATTTTATTGCTGTGGCAATTGTCAGCTATAATGGGATATTCTGCGGCATATTAAAGTTTATTTCCAGGTATAAAGCACTAAAGAGATTTATAGTATTGGAAAAATACAATTATCTATGAATTGAGTATTAACTATGAAATATAATTTAACTAAATCAAGTTGCATACAACTGGGAATAGAAAGCATAAATTGTAGCATTACGAAGCATCAATTGTAGCATTACGAAGCATCAATTGTAGCATTACGAAGCATCAATTGTAGCATTACGAAGCATCAATTGTAGCATTACGAAGCATCAATTGTAGTATTACGAAGCATCAGTTGTGGCATTACGAAGCATTACGAAGTATCAATTGTAGCATTACGAAGTATCAATTGTAGCATTACGAAGCATCAATTGTAGCATTACGAAGCATTAATTGCAGCATTACGAAGCATCAGTTGTAGCATTACGAAGCATCAATTGTAGTATTACGAAGCATCAATTGTAGCATTACGAAGCATCAATTGTAGCATTACGAAGCATCA